ACCTTACAGAAGACATAAAAAGAATTCAGCTGCTACTGCCCAAAACACCTTTCCTCCCTTCCCACTAGCCCAAAAAACAGACTTTGTGTGCCTAGGTCAAATCCTTGCAAACGAGTGCCCAGCAGGAAAATGGAGCTGGGCAATGGATCTGCTGCTCTTTCACAAGTAAAAGTCAGTGCACACACTCATTCCACCACTTGCAGCGAGAATGGGAAGTCATCATAAGCAAATTAATTTTTGATCTTGCAGTTAACTGAAACAAGAGTGAAATTAGTGGTTACATTGCACAGGAGTGGATTGTTGACTCTGCCAGGAGTATGTATCTGGGTACTTGGAACAAGTGGGCTGTCTTGGGATATACTTCCAGAAGCAGTTGGTGGGGAATGATGAACACCCATTTTCTGGATCTGAACTGTCCCACAAATTTACAGGTTCCTAAAACTGGGCAATGCTTAAAAGCAAACAAGCAAACAAATAAATAAATGTTGAGTGTTTAAGGAAACATAAAGCTGGAACTGTGACTTCCAGATTATCATGGTCTGTCTCCAACAGCTGGACTCGATGACCTTAGAGGTGTTTTCCAACCTTAATGATTCTATGATTCAAGCAAAAAAACCCCCAAACCCTGAAACTCGTTTGAAATTATACCAGATAAAACTGATTCCAAGATTGTGTTATGGGCCAGGATCATTTACTTTTTGATAAGCAAGTCTCATTTAGCAGCTGAAATAAGCCATGAATATTGGATATTTCATCTCCCCTTCCTCCACCTGCTGCAATGTTACACACAAGTAATGCTCAAACAAACCAAAGGGACTCTAAAACCTTGGTGCTGCTTTTGTTTTTATTACCCAGAAGTCAAACATGGGATTAGGAAGCAGACAGCCTAGGCTGTCATATCCTCTGTGTGCACCCAGACTTCCACTCTAGCAGGTTGGAGAGAGAGATTTAATCAACAGGCAGACAGGTCATCTGACAACAAGTATTTTATATTAATCTGGAAATAGGCAGTGTATATCTAACACCTCTAATATCCTTTACTGCGCTGTTTTTGTCCTTCTTGGCAAAGGAAATTTAAGCCACCCACTTCCAGGAAGGCTGCATGTTTCCATACAGACAGACATCTCTTGGCTTCCGTGCCACTTTGGAGACACATCGTTCATTCTTTTCCTAAGTGTCTCCTCTCCCATCCAGCGCAGCCAGCCCAGAGCTGAGAATCCAGCTACTGCTCAGTGTTTTCCACCACTCAATCTTCGGGTGCTCCATTAACCGGGTCAGGAACATTGCCCACAGCTTATGGCTGGAGCAGCAGGGCATAGTGACCCAGCCACCCTCCTCTTAATGCAGAAAATTGCTACTGTTTGTTTGAAAACGTGGCGTCAGTCCAGCTGATAAATTTACTGAATAAATGTATTTTAAGGACATGTAAAAACATCCACAGTTCCAAATTCAGCTTATGAATCTGTTCTTCCTATTTTGCACTTAGCAAGAAAGACCAAGATTTATCCCTTAGGTACAGAAAACAAATAGGAAGGCTGCATGCAGTTTTAATACATGAAAAGGAATCCTTCAGTGCTCTCTGCCACTATTCTTCATTATATGCTTTAAGAGAACTTTTCAGATAACTTGCATTGAGTGTGGAAATAAACATACTACCCTAGAATTGATCTTTATACCTACCATAGGATGCCACCAAAAGTGAGGATAACTACGGCAAAAAACTCAAGAGACACAGCACTGCAGGTGCACCAGGATTAAGTATCACCTGGTGTTCCCTTTCCATCTGAAAGTATCCTAACGCCCTTAGTCATTAATCTGGGCTGTCTTCTGCCACAAGCTGCAATCCCTTCCACAGCTCTTCCAGCAAAGACTTCTGACTGTGGAAATCTGATCAGAGCACTCTCTACCTTAATCTGTTTTAGACACCTTCTCAGCTGAGGAACAAGAGTGGAACTATTTCATTAAGCACCCTTTCCTCAAAGCCAGGTTAGCAGGAAGACTTTAAAGCAACTGCTTTCTGTATGCATGAACAGTCACACCTCAAATGGCTCCTTCAGATAAAAGAAGTCAAGTCAGAGAAGGCTGGGGTACGCCAGAGTTTTGCACCCATTGCTGACTGTTGATTTACAGCCTTGTAAAGCAGGGATGGGCTTCCTCAGAAGACCCAGAAAGACATGGTTTCCATTGTGCAGACAATGGAATGTGCATGGTGGGATGACTGGAGTGCTGCAACAGATGGCTGAAAACTCTTCAGAAGGGACAGGCAAGGAAGGAGACTCATTTGGGTTGTCCTGTGGTGCTCACAGAGCCACTTCCCATGACTTACCAGCAGTCCCAGCTACCTGGGGAAGTCCCTGCTGACTGGAGGTCAGCACTCAGCTACAAGAAGGGCTGGAAGAGGGATCTGGGCAACTGCAGGCCTGTCAATCTGACCTTGGTGCCAGGGAAGGACATGGAACAGATCATTTTAGTGCCATCACATGGCATATCCAGGACAAGCATGGGATCAGACCCAGCCAGTGTGGGTTTAGGAAAAGCAGGTCCTCTTGACCAACCTGGTCTTCTGTGACAAGGTGACCCACTTAGTGGATGAAGGAAAGGCTGTGGATGTGTCTACCTGTCCTTTGGTAGAGTTTGACACCATGTCCAAGAGCATTCTTTTGGAAACTGGCTGCCCATGGCTTGGACAGGTGCGCCATACATGGGTTAAAAACAGGCTGGATGGCTCAGCCCAGAGAGTGATGGGGGAACAGAGTTACATCCACAGAGCTCAGAACTGGGGCCAGCTCTGTTGATGTCTTCATCAATGATGAGGGGATTGAGTGCACCCTCAATCAGCTTGCAGCCAACACCATGTTGGGTTGATCTTCTAGAGGGCAGGAAGGCTCCACAGACACATCTGGATAGGCAGGATCAAGGTATTTAAAAGATACAGATGTGGCACTTGGGGACATGGTTTAGTGGTGGGCTTGGCAGTGCTGGGTTAATGGTTGGATTTGATCTTAGAGGGCTTTTCCAACCTAAGTGGTTCTACGAGTCTATGTAAAGCTTTGGGGATTTCCTTCTTCTGTCTATCCAGAGTAAACAAAAAAAAGAGCTTCTGGGATGATGTAGAGTCCCATCTTTGAATGTATTTATTTCATTACAGATTAACATGCACTGATTGCTTGATCTCTAAGTAACCTAACAAAAGTTGTATCATTATTAATACCTTGTTGAGACAATTGTTAGAGGCTCAAAAGAAAAACTAGAAAAGATGATGCTGAGTTATTTAAATCTTCCATGGAGGGAAATGCACTAAAAAGTCCTGTCAACTCTTTTGTTCCAAATATCACTTAACTTTTCCTTCTGCTGCTGTTTGGAAGAAGAAACATGAACTGGAACTATTATGGTGCCTTTTGCATCTGGGTCACTGCACTGCTCACACAGTCCCTGCCCAACAGCCTTAAATAGCACTTACAGAATTTTGTTTCAGGAGACAAGCACAAACTTATCAGTTTTACAACAGCTGTTGAGAGATGGGTGAAAAAAACATGTATCATAGCTTGTTCCCTAAATCATGCTCTAACCACATTCCTCCATTTTTGGCAATAACACTCAGTTGACACATGCTGAACGTTACAAGCACACAGCCTTCAAACACAGAATGTTTGAGGGGTTTTTTTCTTCTCATGACTAAGTCCAATGGGGTTTTCCAGTCTTTCAAAATGCACTTACTGCTCTATTGATTTGTTTCCATATTTCTTTCAGAATTTCACAAGGACACATTGAAGAAGCATTCTATTAAATGCACTAAAGCTATCACATTCTTCACTGCTTATTATAAAAGCTGCCTTCTCAGCTGAAGCCTGATGGACAAATAAGAATTAAGAAACTATTTTAATGTAGCATCTGGCTGTGTTCCTAAATTCTAAAAGTGCCTATACATAAAAATAAAATTAAATTAAATCCTCTAATTCCCAGTACATAAAAAAATTAAATCTCACAGCAAAATTGCTTCTCTCTGTTCATTTAATTAAATTAGAAAGTATTCACTTTCTACATCTTGATCTGAGAACAACAAAAACAACCAAACACAGAATAGTTTTTAACTTCTGTCAATTACTTTTTCCTTCCCAACTTGTTACCTTCATTTACCCATCTCGTTAAATCAAGCATTAGCATTTGGCAGCGACTCAGGCCCATGTGCTTTAACTGACTGTTGTGAAATTACTCACACAGGGCTTGCATAACTTGCATGAAATAGCTGGAGTGAGGACAGCGAGGGGAAGATGTTTTCCCTGTGTCTCTTCACCAGTACAGAAGCCATAGCAAGAAAGGACATGCTTGCATACAGTTTCTACATTAAACAGGACTATCAATCTTCCATGATCTGAATTTGAACCAAAACTAATCCCCACCACTGATATGAGAGGAGTCTTCACACATGGCAGTGGGGGGAAATGCTGTGTTTTCACTTGTTATTAGGAAGGAAGAAGCTGTTTAGAGCAGCTTTACTTTTATCAAAAGGAGGGTGGGGTGAAAATAAGAGACAGAAACGGTTTATAATTTGTATTTTGAGACGACAGCATTGCAAATCTCCAGCAATACCTGGCCACAAAAATCATACTGCAGTGCTCCCAGGGTGACTGGGAGTGTTACAGGAAGGGAAACTGAGAAAATGTTCTTATTTCAAATTAATTCTCAGCTGGAATTGAGGTAAGTCCATTATAGCAGAATTGACAGCTTGACCCAGCTTTTTTTCCCGAACAAGTTGATGTGGAATGATTGCTAACATTTTTTAGTCACTTCAGTGCAGTTAAGTCACTTGAGTAGCATCATAACAAGGGCACTGCATGACATTTCCACTACTTAGCTTGTGTCCCAAATGAATGAAGAATAATAGAGATCTGCAAAGACAAAATCATTCAAAGGAAATAAAGCAGCTTGTAAAATTCACAGAATGCTCTCAGTCTTGAGTACTAACACAGAAAGCCCAAAAAAAATAAAATTCTCAGAGTAACATTTCATAATTAAAGTTTTTTTTATTTCTTCACTTTTTCTTTAATACAAAGCTTTGGCATCAGCAAATTTTATGAAAAAATAGAATGTACTAAATAATTGCTTGTGCTGCATGATCGATAAATGATGCATAAAAATAGGTGTCTCTCTCCAAGGCAATCGGCCGGAAAGCGTTTCTTCAATAGCATTCTGCTCTGCAGGGCAGAAAAAAAAAGCAACAAAATATTTATGTTAAAGTTAATATTGCCAATATGAAATAAATAAAAAAAAAATCCTGTAAAAGTAAGTTAGTGAAAAATGACTAATGATATAAAGCCAGAGCATTAAGAGATGTCTGTATGTGTCACATCATTCCTACAGGACAGCCAGAGGTTTGAGCACTTCTAAGCTTTTGAGGATACTCCATCTGCTACTGAAAACTTTCTCTAAGTGGTGCTATCCAATATTTGGGCTTTTTGGGCTTAAACCTACACTTACACAGTAATTTCTGACTGTTCCCTAGGAAGCAAGGCAAATTGTGCTGCTTCTGCTCATTTCAAACACTGCCTAAAACTTTTTATACCAGTACTGCAAGGTTATTTTGAGACCAAGAGAAAGCAGCTGGTTCCTTATTTTATCACTTAGACAATGTTTACTTTTATCACAACTATTTAAAAATGCATGTGTGTGTATTTATACATACACACAAACATACATATACACAGCTAAATATGTATGTACTTACAACTCCAGAACTATTGCCCTAAATAACTATGTGTAAGCTCTGAGAGGGACAAAATAGCAAAAAACAAAAAAAAGGTACAGGATATGTTATTAGGTGAGTTTTAAAGCAGAATTTCAATTCTTTTACTTGTATCAGTATATTACATGGTCTCATTCTTCCTACTGTTGTTTTTCAGTAAGAAAATCCCCTCAGACTCCTCTTGAAACACTACCATAAGAAAGGCAGGGCATGCCAGCATTGCTTTTTACATGGAGAGCAGCATAAAAAGCAGGTATGCTGTTTAATAGAAAAAGCAATGAGAAGGAACTGCCATATATCTGGCATGATATTCAGCACACAAAATTCTTTGTCTGGCACTGGGAAGGTGTCAGCGAAACATTAAATCTTAGCATTAGTGTCATTTTGAAGTGTCTAAAATGAGTAGTCGAACCCAGGAGCACTTGTGCAGGCTGCTCAGATCCCAAAGGATTCAGATGAAGAGCTGCTGAGGTTAAAGGCCACAGCCAAGAATCACAGTTCCCCAAATAAGTGATTTTTGAAGCTCTGGTTTCTGGGTTGTGAGTTTTCTCAAGTCTGTCTCAAGCACACACTTGATGTGTTTGCATTTCAATTCCTATCACTCAGAAAAGGAGCTCTCCTTGTATCAGCACATCCTTTGTTTGTATTGAGGGAACATCACTGTGAAAACACTTTGCTGGAGGCCTGAAGTCCCTGCCAATGTGCAGCAGCTTGTCCTTGCAGTAAAAACAGCCCCAGATCCCACTGAGCAACAAAAATAAGAGTTGCAAGGCAGAAATGCAGCTGCTATCAGTGCCCACATCTGGATTAGACTTCATGGGCTCCAGCTCCTCCTCCTTCCCAATGATGTGCAAGTGCCCAGCAATGCAGACATTCCTGTTCTGCAGCTCCTTGCCCCATGCTTTCTCAATCTACTTTTCCAGGCAGGTTAAAGATTAACTATGTTCAGTCACAGCTATGCTGCCAAGTTGCTGACTGATGGCTGCAACTTCAAGATTTTGACAAACGGAAAAAAAAAAGTCAGTCTCGATAGGACTATTTGAAGTTCTAAAAGTTTTCTTCCTGAAGCCCTTTTGGAATCAGCATATGAAAAGAGGAGGAAGATTTCCAAATTAGTGGTAAGTAAATATCCCTGATGACCAATATTATGGACCCTACTGAAGATCATTAGCTTGAGATTGCTTAAAATTTTACACTGGAGACTATTAGACATGTTTCCATCTTAATGAGGAAACCTTATATTTTCCAAATAACAATAAAAGAAAGAAAAAAAAACAAAACAAAGAAGAAACAAATCCAACCCCCCTTCTCTTATCTCAAAGAAAAAAAACCCCAAGAAAGTGTATATAAAGCTCCATTTCCCAGTTGCATTTCTTTCTTTGGATCTCGGCCCTCCTTCTGGTAGAGAGATCAGATTCCACTTTAATGGAAACTCAGCTGTATCAAGATGTTCAGAGACAAAGAAAGATGTTGACACTTTGCCTTCCCAAATAAATAACTAAATTAAGATTAAACTTTTATCCTGAGCCCAGATATTCTGTACACCTACATGAAAATAACTAGATGGACCTAGTTAATAGATCTGCAGAATAGATTTATACTTGCTCACACACAGAATTATAAAAAAAAGACTGAAAATCATTTACTAGGATAATTTATTGTCCGTCCTGCCTGAAGGGAGGCTGGGGGTTTCCATATAGGTTAAGAAAGCATGGAAGCAAGCATGCCTTCATTTAAGACCGAAGAAACAGTACTGCATTCATTGCTTTCATCTTTCCATCACCTAAGAGGAAAAAGGTAATTTTCTGCTTAAACACCCTTTTTCTCCCCCTTGACTGAAAGTGTGCCAACTAGGAATAGAGGATTCTTTTTTATAAAATTGAGGTGAAAACGGCCACAGGTAACTGCTGGCAATAGGCTTTGGCTCTGGCAGGTGAATTTTGAACATAGGAATTAAATGGCAGAAATCTAATGTTTACCTAGAACATTGATCAAAAACTCACCATAAATATTCCCTGTTTCCCCCTTTTCATGTCTCCACTTAGAAAAGAGGTTTCCTCAAACAACACAGCTAAATATAAATTAAGAGGGACTCTACATGTTACCCTGAAACCTGCTTTTAACAGAGACACTCACATTTGAAAAAAGCAGGAAATTAATTTGACTCCTTGAAAACTACATATTCCCCCTTCTATTGGTATTTATTCCCAATGTTGTCCATGACACACACCCACCAGAAATGCACAGAAACATCTGAGTATTTACTTACTCATTAGCATTCAAGCTAGCTGTGGCTTTGATGATCATGTAGCAGAGTGTAAGGGCACTGAGGAGGCCAAAACTGGCAATAATAAACCATTCTTCTGTTGACAAAGGAAAGGGAGGAAATCACTCGTGGGAGAAAGCGATGCCAATATTTCCCTCAAACACCACTGGCGGAAGGCAAGAGGCTTCTAAGCCATGACTGGCCCCAGGAGGTGAAGCAGAAGGAGGTTAAGCCACAGAGTTACTGACGGGAGAAGGCTAGCAAAGAAGAAGTGGAGAGAGGTGCAGAAAAAAAGCATGGCACAAACAGTATTTCCTGGCTGAGCCCAAGGGTTAGTGATAAAGAAAAGTTACTTAACAGTGTAAAATGCAGGATCAAGGGAAAATGTAATGAAAACTCTGTCCACCCCCAAGTCAGAAAGATGACTGTCAGGTTGGGTTAGGTTTGGTGAGTTGCAGTTCTTTCACATAAGCATACCCAAAGTACTGTGATACTTCAACTGCCTTTGCCCCTTCCCTCCTGAATTTGTTATAGTGTTATTTAAAACCCAACAAAAATCAGGATAGATTTCTAAACAGTAAAACATAACTAGAATTTTCTACAAAATAGACATATATACCCATGGAAAAATAACTTCAATACTAGCGTAGAGACACACACACATATTAAATAAAAAGTAACATAAAGAAATCTATTAAAAAATGTTCACTATTCAAAATTCTCCACAGGATCAACTTGGCATACAGTAACAGTTCAGAATACACTGTTGTTGAATACAGCTTTTGGTTTAATTCTCATGCATCAAAGAATGCACGTGTCATCCATAAAATACAAACATTTCAAGAGCCCTATCTAAAGCTTTACTTTATAAACACTGTCAGAATGAACCGTTGATGGTTATTTCTTGTTTTACCCTGGCATCCCATCTGTGCACAAGCAGCACTACAGCTGGGAACAGACAGTAAAAATCTCCCTCTGAAAGGCAATTAGTAAAAAGTGAAAACTACAGTTTTCCACCCCTGACAAGGAAGCAGCACAGCAACGGATCTGTTCTTGTTCAACACAACTGAATGCAAGGTGACCCAGAGGCTGAACACTGGATGGCAAAGTGACTTACTGGCTTTTTGGAGAATCCAGATTTTGCATGTGGATTTTCCCATCTCAGATCAGGGTATTTCTAGATATGGAGTATGTTTTTCATGAGGTGGTTTTTTTTTTTTTTTTTTTTTTAAATGAGACATTTACTGCATTGGTTGAACTGCCTTGTTCACATGTATCAGTGGCAACCAGTGTCACCAAGTTCAAAATATAGATCACAGATGCACATTAACAAAATATGAGGAGAAAATGAGACTGTTGTACTGCATGGATTATATTTTTGCAATTCAGACAGAAAAACAACCATTTCAACATCAAGTTGAGACTGTACAGCATATGGAAAACTGATGCAATTCCACTCATACTGTATTTATTATAGTGCCATTGTACATTAAAAACCCTAGGTAAATTCCAGTAAGTGGAAATTTTCCATGCTGCACTTACGGATAAGAGGTTTCAAGCAATGCAGAACAGTTTTCTGATGTTATAAAACACTTGGACAATACTCAAATGTTGGTACATCAAATGCTTCTTTAATTCACAAATTTTTTAAGAAAAAACACCTGCTAAGCGACGTCAGAGTTCCAGTAGCAATGTTCTCAGGGGAAAAAATGTCCGCAGAAATAGCTATCGGCTAAAATATTTATATTTGTATAAATTAATGCACGTGAAGTATTCTGAAGGGATGAATAACAGTTCTGGCAATCCAGCTTCTTGTGCTGGTTACCAAATTCAGGAAGGTTATTTTGGTGCCATTTCAGTTCATCCAGGGTTCTTTGCATGCGGATCTAAATGGATATACCATTAATAATGGAAGTGTTGGCACTGTCATACCTAGAGTTATTGGTTCCAATAAGGAGCATATGCCTCTTGCAGAGACACTGAGGTCACCTTTGTCCCTGCAGGGACATCCATCACCAGGGCCCTGCAGCACAAAGGGACACACACACACCATGGAAGCCGTAGGATGCCAAAGGACACTTACTTGTCACGGCAATGTTGATCTCTCCTGACCTTGGTGTCAGCTCCCCATCCTGTGGCAGCTGTGACATGCCCGAGGTGCGCAGGGGCTCCAGGCTGAGGGAGCTGTCGGTGCCGAAGTCTCCGAGCGCCGAGCGCCTGCTCGCCGGCTGCCCCCGCGTCAGCCTCTCCATGTCAAAGGCTACGTTATCTGTGCACGGCACGTTGGGCTGGGGAAAACACAGCTCCACGTTACAGCGCTGAATGTTCTGTGTGTAACACCCATACATTGATTGAAACCACACACACACACTTCTTACAGCTGCTGTGCCTGTCCTGAGGTCACACAGGAGAGAAACACATGAATGAACTCTTCCACCTCTTGAAGAGGAGAAGGAAGAAGCAGAAAAAAGGATTGAGATACAAAAAAGGGACTCAAGTACACTTTTATCATAGGCTATGCCAGTATGGTTTACCACAACCATGACAAACACTGAATTCTGTATCTTCTTCTAAAAATCCAGGGATGTTATTAACTGCAAAAACAGGTCATCCACAAAATATCTGCTACTATTTCTTATGAAATGTGCAAATTTGCGAATGACACAGTTAAAAATGGAGGCCTGATTATTCTCACTGTCTTGAATCAAAAGCCACTTTAGACGGTCTCTCCATATGTTCTTCTCTTACTCTAAAAAGAGCATCACTCCCACTTTGTAATTTTTTCCTCACACAGGAAAGATTAAAAAAAAACTGCTTTGAGGTTTCACTGCTATCCCTTTGTGAGCTGGTCAATGAAAGCAGTCCTCGGGGAGCCTGTAAGACATGAGCTGCTTGAGGAAAACTTACTGGCCTTGGCTAGGGCGGGGCTTTTAATGTGCAAATTTAAGACTGTCTACAGGAAACCACAAGAACAAGAGATTCAGAGAGTATATTTGACAAGGAAGAGATGAAAGGACTTGAAAATAAGGAAGATTACAGAGAATCAACATAGTTCCAGTAGATAATTGCCATAAATGCAAATATAACAGTGTATTCTCAACTACCAACCAGGGGAAGAAGGAGAAAACAACAAATCAGCACCAAAGAAATTAGTAAAAATCCTCAAATATTTTCTGAGTAAGGGTACTGGAACACCCCTCCCCCTCTCCCCCCTACACTTATCCTTCCTATTCTAGGTCTCAGACATGAGAGGAAGAAAAGTTCACAACCGAGCAACTTACCACAATTCCCAGTGCCTTCAAAATGTTCAGTTTACACATTGGACATGTACAGTGCTCACTGAGCCATGGATCCACACAGACTTTGTGGAACACGTGCCTGGAAGAACAGAGAAGGCACATAAATAGTTTGCAAACAATTCTATTTTATACAATGAAAATTACTTAAACTTTTGGATAGTTACTTTTTTTTGTTTTAAAATACATGGAATTCTTAGAAACTGCAGTAATTAAAAAATAAATTTAAAAATATTGCTTATTGCTGTCACCCTTTACTAATAGTTCAATTAGGAGGAAACACTTGAAGATTTTCATTCCCCCTCATCCCTCCCCTCTTTTTATTGTGGATATGAGTAGATGATGGAAGGTAGAAGAACCAAGGTAATGCCATTTCCACCATAACCTTGCCTACAGTCTTTTCTCAGTTTTGATGCAGCATCTGACCACGAACTCGGTAGGATGAGCACAGAACCATCAGCTGTCGATTTTGTTCACATATCAGTGGAACCAATCCAAACACACTCCTGTTTGATTTTGAAAAGTCTTTTATTGTATAGCGTTTCTTGATATCAAGTAGGAAAACATGTCCATCCTCATACAGTTGTCATAAAAATAAAAGGAGAGGCAAACAGGGCTTTCAGAGACAGAAAGGCAAATTGGGCTCCTACTTGCACAGCAGGGAACTCTGCAATAGGCAACAGTCTGAACTGCCTCCTACATTGCATTCAAAATCTTAGTTACATAATTGAATATAAACGTAAGTGTTGGGATTGATATAAACCAGTATAACAAGGAAGGACTATGCAGAGACCAAAACAAGGAATATAAACTAAAGGAAGTAAAGGAAATACCCTCGTAGCTTTCCAAAAGACAAAGAGCTTTTCAGAGCATATTCATTGCAGGAATGGGTATCATAAGACTGTCTACCCAATATAGCTTTAGCAAATATTCGTAATAACCCAGTCTGAGTAACTGCTGATGATAATTCCTATGATAAGAGCCTTGATCCTTCATTTCCAGTGGTGCTGACTGCAGAGCAAGAAGCCAGAAAGAGCAAGCACACCCAAACACGACAGACTGGCGATCATGACAAAGATCAGCAATTACAAGGGCTGCTTAGTCAGCAAAGAGCTGTGCTCTGGAGCCAGCAGGCAAAGGGGCAGGGACAGAACAAGCAGGTCTTGCTATTTGAGGCATCAGCAGGATCTGGAAGAGGTTGGCCATGCGTGCCCCCAAGGCAGCATAAAGCTGAGATACCCTCTGTCCCCTCCTTGTTTGGGTTACACTTGCTCTCTGCGCCTCAGAAATCCCAGTATGGAATCTGGGACTTGTTTGCTTCCTATTCCTTGGGATTTTAAAACCAGAGACCAAATGAGGCATGTTACCAGAGAATTCTCTTATAAATCTCTGGAAAGCAACCTAAAAGGCCTCCTGAAACTGTTAAACATGGCAAAAGACAAGATATAATTACTGTCTGTGTCTACTCAGGCTGATGGAGGTACTAAAGAACATCAACATAATGAAATTCTAGGCAGCTACAGCTGTACATCCCACCTGTACTAACTGAAGAGGCAGAATTAGGATGTAAAATAGTCAACAGAAGATGGACAGGCAGCAAAAGAATTTTGATCATCTCTATTCCAGATAATGCAGGAATAGAAACTTAAATAATCTCAGTCACCTGGCTGGCCTGTGTCCTCTAGCAAGATGGCAATCCCAAAAATCAGGGTATGTACAATGCCTTCTGTTCAAATCATCACCCAAAATAGACTCACTTCTATTATTATTAAGTCTTGATGCATTCCCTTTATTACTCACAAAACTACAGGAAGCAATATTTAGAAACTCTGGGTGATACATAATGGCTTGAAATATTCTGAAACATACAGAGATGCTATTTTTCAAAGTTGGGCAAATTATGACTTTTATTTGCTTATGTTTTCTTTTAAGTCTCTGGAGTCTGTTTTTTTAAAGCAGAACAAACCTGGAAATCTAATATTTTGGGCAAGAGCAGACATCAAGACTCCACAGAAGTACGGAAACAGCTTTATTATATCATTATTGGCTCATCAGAGCTGTAGAAGCACTCAGATCAAGTGAAGCAGGCGACTGATATAGATGCCAGCATGCATCCACTAAATATTAGGAGTTATTTTAAAAAGTAATTAGCACTTTGATATATTTATATACACAGCCCAATTGTTTTTGTGACCTCCTAATTCTTTGCTTTTAGTTCCTAAACCTTCAAGGATGTTTATTAATGTGTTTCAAAGATTTGCAATTCTCCAAAGGTTATTGATTAAGACATAATCTTCCTACTACTTACACAGTTTCTCTACCTCTTAAAAAGTTTGCTGATTGCATCATTGTGGCTCTGTCTGGATTTCTCTCTTTGCAGGAGCTAAAAAGCGGTTATACAGCAATGACAACAGCAAATAAGAATTATTTTAAAACCTCACTCTGAAAAAGTAAGCCCTTGCAATTTCTACTCTCATAAACCTCCTCCATATTTCCATTTCTGTCATTGGTATTCTGAGACCATAAACGTGACGAGTTCCTAGAGTTGCACCCGGTCACGACAGCTGATGATGTTCCCTCAGGAGCCACAGGCTGGGGAGTCAGGTGTGACACAGCCTCTGCAGCTTCCCCAGCCTCAGGCAGGAGGATGCAGGGCTGGCAGCCAGGCTGGCAGCACTGACAGTCTCCCATGCGGGCACAACTCCAGGCAGGTGACCTGCAGGTATTTTTCCACTCTGTCAGCACACCCAATCCAGCAGCCCTCCAGGTGATAATAAACACCCTAACACCAACTCTTGTACAACACAGCTTCTTTGCAGCATTTCATAGGGGAGAAACTGAGTTAGGAATCTCTTTTGGTGGCGTAAGGCCTCCAAATTCACACATCACAAAAGGAGAATGATTTACAAATGCTGTTTCCTTACAGCTTGCTCCCCTTCCCTGCTCTCAGTGTAGCATACCACCAAAGGGACCTTTGCTGTTACAGATCTTTGGCTACTGGTGGGGCAGCTGCTCTCCTGGCCCTGGAGTCCAAGGCACTGCAGGAAGCAGAAAGGATGCCATCAAGACTCTATGTTAATTTGGTCTTAAAAAGAAAAAGGCAGCTATTTGCAGCAACACAAAATCAAACAATCTGAAAATCTGGTTTAGTCACTTTTGTCACTTCCTCCTCCTTGATCAGGACAGGAATTAAGACTTTGTCTCAAAAGCCACTTATTTTATAGTATTTGCTACTCTTAATTCTTCTATGTTGTTAATTCCTTCCTTCCTTGGTCATCTTTCTGCCCTTTACAATGTTATTTTCTGCTCTTCTCTAGCCTGTCACTTTGCTCTCCCCTTCCCGTATCTCTCAGTAATCCTTCACACTACCCACTCCTGATCACTTTTCACCTAGTGCCTGTTCAGCCCCTAGATGCAACTGTGTGATGGTAGAATAAAATTACCTGAACAAGTAAAATTGTCCATGAGGTTTGTCTTTTGCTAGGATCCCTCTTTCGTTTGCTTCCTCTACTTACTTTTCACTTACATAATGACATTCACAAAGACACATTCCTCAAGCTTGGAAACCTAAAACAGATGGCAGCTTGTCCCTGTGTGCACTAAAGCTATAGCTATGTCCATAGGCTGCTGGTACTGAACATCTCTCTCTGAAGCACAAAATGAACTACTGCAAACAATGCAGTTGAATTTCTCCCCCTTTCACTTCAGTTTATTTTTAAATTGGCCACAATTTCCCACAAACCACAAGACTTTACAATCACAAATGTAGTGTTTTGCTACAGAATTTTAGGTGAAACTTGCTCAGCTGCTGGCAGATTTTGCCTGCTGTGTGTCTACCCAGACCGGATCCCTCTGCTGAAGCACAGTGTGACAGACCATACTTAACTGCAGAGCCAAACTGTACCACTAAAGGGAAAGGCTCCTTTTAAATTGATGAAAGCGGCAAAGATGTTACATGTCAGTGATTCCTACTGTCTAATGATTACAGCTTCCCAAACAAGCACAGTAAGAACTTCTAGACTTTTATTTGCTTCCTCTTGGTCAAGTAATTTTCTCCATGGTTTTCTTGCAATTTATTTTCTCATCTGGCTTAGAAACTCTCTTGTAGGCTTTGTTTCATTGTCTGTGTGTTTTTTTTATTTTTTGTTTTTTTTTTAAAAAAAATAACATTGCATGCTGCACTAAAATGGAAGGCTGAAGTATGAGGAAGTAGAAAGGAGTTAAACCTCCATAATAAGATTTGGGGAGAAGCATCTCAGGTACTGAAGACTGAAAAATCTCACATGGAATCTGAAATTTATTGGGCCCATCATTGAAGGTACTAGTTGGCTTTTCATCTACAAATATAAGAACGTCTTGTGGAAAGCATCCATCTCACTGTTTGTGTCTAGCCTAGATGGTTTTGCACTCAACTTAAAAGCTGAGCTGCAGCAAATGAAAAGTGAGATGGAAAAAATAAGTAGAAAGCGAACATAAAAGTTGTCATACAGCCTTTGGCAGGACTGTAATCTGAGCCTTCGCTGACCTTACATTCCTGTGAAAAACAGAACAGAAAATGATCTATACAAGAGCCTTGATCTCTCCTTTACATGGGAGACTGCACTGGGGCAGGTTGTGCTGAGGTGGCAACCAGGTGCACCTGCAGCAGCTCCCTGAACAGCTGTAGCTATCCCTGAGAGCCCAGAGCTCCCTGTCTGCAGGACTGCGGCTCAACAAAGGTGTCTGAAGAAAAAGGACTTTTCTTTCTTTTCTTTTTAATTAAAAAAATAAATCAATGATCATCTTGTTTAAGTGGTCTGTATTGTATCTGTGTAAATCAGCAACATATCCACTGCTTGCACAGGGGCAGTTGTTTAACTAAGGAAGTTGGCTTTTAATCCCAACTCTGCCTTGTGCTCAGTGGGAGCAGTTGTTTTCCTATCAGGGAAGACTCATTCTCTCTTCACCGGCAAGGACCTCCTGCCCTTCGTACAGTATCAAGAGAAAAGCACAGAGGAGTGGGACTTGTGACCTTTCATTCCACGTCCTTGAGCCTCACAGTAGGACTACACAAGGGAAGCTTTCTTAAGAAGCAGTTTACAAAATAAATGCACACACATCCACATGATCAAAAGCTCCCAAATTTTTACAATCTAAGCTCTTCTATTCCAGAATATTTTAATTAGAGTTTCTAAATTATCAGTTGTAGGGTATTTTAGCTAAACAACACTGAGAATCTAAAACAGGTCATTGTTTCCTGCTGTCCAAGAGGTAAGAAACACAGAGAACAGTAAAATGAATTAGATTTTTGGCTTCAGAAGTCTAACGCACACAGATTTTGATCAGTAAGATATAAAATAATATTGTTTTCCTTTTACGATGATGGAAATACCCTGTACATAAGAAGATATTCAAGCTATTCAGAACAGCCTGCAGGAGGATTTAAAAGACCAATAACAAGCTCTTATGTGCTGCTGCTGATGCCTGACTGGAGATCAACTCCAACACATGACTTTGCTGCTTCTGCAGCATCATGCAGAACCATTTACGTACCAAGCACAAGCCAAGTTACTGGATCTTGCTGTACAACCTAATTTACACATGTGTTTTGTGCCTGGAGATGATGAGAAAGCTTTGCATTTCAGAACTCAAGGGAAAGATGTCCTTGGTAATACTTAATGCAACCAAAACATATGATTCATCAAAATCAAGCACCAGGTGGAAAAGTATTTAAAATCACCTCTCAAAGATAAAATGTCCCAAAACAACTCAAGAATGGAATTGGAATGGAAACAAACTGAAAACCTGTAAATATCAACACAATGCCATAAAAGTGGGAAGAAGTTCTTACATTTTAAGCACTAATGCAGTATCACCACCAAGCACAAATCTTCACACACAAGCCAAGATCACACTGCATTGAAGAGACCCAAGACAGATGACAGCACAGTGGCTGACTAACGTCAGGAGGTATGAAGGTTGCAAAGACTGCATTTCCACTCCCCACAGTTTCAGAAACCAGCAACCAGTTGTTGCATGTCTACAGTGCAGAATTCTGCAGCTCTACCTGGCTCATTATATTGAAATTTTTTGAGTCTGCCCATCACTTGGTCCTTAAACCTGCACCCCTCCACCTCACTGCAGTCTCAATAGCTCCATTGCCAGTATCTTTAATATAATTCTGTTTAATCTTCATTGTCCTAACAGTGCCAGCACCCACCTTCACACCTTCTGGCACCATAATCTAAAATAAAGTGGCCATTATTAGGACTGGAAACATCCAACAAATGCATTTGTGAATTACAATGCCCCTATTACATGAAATGAAGCAAAAGAGCACCAAAAGAGAACAGTTTCCAAACAAAGCAACTTTATTATCTTACTTGCATGGCAAAATGCGAACAACATCGTTCTGCTTGTAACTCTCAATGCAGACAGCACAATGATCAAAGTCTGGGTCTGTTTCCTAAAATGAATAGAATGAGAATTCAAGTCAAGAGTTGAGGCTATGACAAATGTCAAAGTATTTGTGACTAGCACATGAACTGCACTGTGCCAAGTGGCTATAAACTAAGCTATAAACCCAATGACTGAATTATTATATTCCAACATGCAAAGCAAGAAAAGCATCTCATACATGCAAAACTCCCCTTTCTTGGAGCTGGTAAATCATCATTTCGTACATAAACTAAGGCCTAAGATGATTCTAATGTTCAGTGAAATCATTAAAAAATTTAGTGGAGATTTTCCTAGATTTCTTTTTTTTTTATCTCCAGCTTAGAGTTAACATTTCTGTTTTATTCAGGTTTTTTGTTTGTTTGTTTTGGCAGAATAGGAATTCTGGGGCTAATTTTCACAGCCAGAACAAGCACATTTTACTTAGTTCAGAGTAGTCCCACATTTGTGTCTGCTGCTTACTTGCAGAATTATCATCATTCTTATTGAGACATGAATATGAGGATCACCGACTGACAAGCTCCTCTCTTTTCTGTTTTCCAGAAGTTATGATTTTTAAAAAAAATGATATTTTAAAATTCCAAATGGAAAAGGGGAGGACTTCATTTGTATATAGATATGGCATCAACAACACATATTTAAAATGTTTGGGCCTGTCAGACAAAATGGGCTGTGCTTTCTCTTAGTTCAACTTTGTTATTCTTTTCAGTGCCAACCAGCTACAAGCCAGACACCAAGACAGGGACCAGAGCAAGGCCACAGCTACTCCTGGTCAGCACCAGCCAGGGCTGCACACAGAGAGAAATCCTGATGGCTCCTCTGAGGAACAAAACATTTTTCTCACTCTGTTCATTTGCATGTACCCCCCACGCTGTCTGTGCTGCAACCTACATAGCACTTGCCAGTTCTGAATTTATGCTGTCAAGACAACAGCATTGTTTTACAGGGAAAGGCTCCTCTAATTTGTATGTTCTCCAATTCCAGAAAAGATTTAGTGCAGATTTGGGCTGTTCTGAAATAGAACTACATAGGGAGAGAGGAAGAACAGAACGACATTTTCTCTGCCTTCTCTCTGTAAACAAATTTTCCTATCACTTCCTCATCTCCCACTGCTGATAGTGTCAATACGAAAGAAAAAAGGAATTACAATAAAAAGGCCCTAAAAAATACTATTTTAAATATCAAATCATAGCCAGAATTCCTTTACCTTTTGAAAATTAAAACTAAAAAATTAAGCAAGATTAAATGACTCATTTTTCCTTTCAGAATCAAAAATAAGCAATACCGCTTACAAAAGAGGAAAAAGCTTAGGACATAACAGACCATATATTTTAGTTTGTATACTAGCAAGAAATATTCTTGGAGTACCTATGACTGAAATACCTATTTATGCTCACCCTTAACTTACTGAATAGTCATATTTTACTTAAGATACTATCTTCAATTACCCGTCTTTTAAATTTATTTTTCCTTTACAGAACTTACATACGATAAGGTTCTAAGCCTTAGAATTCCACATAAACAATGCCAGCCCTGTGTACCCATGCCAGGACACCCTCCCAGTCAGCCAGCACACAAAACCACCCTCAGTCACAGATGCCAGATAGGAGTGCAAATTGTATTTAAGCAAGAAAAACTTCCTTGAAATATACAGACTTACAGCACACATCAAAACTAACAGTTACACAAAATATTATGCCACAGGACAAAGTAAGCCTCCAACAAGGAAGGCAAAGTCATAAATCAGAAACAGAAAGAAAAAACAGAGATTGATTTCCCAGGAAAAAAATTAAACATGATGCTCAAGTTTATCATGTTGAAATATTATTATACCTTATCACCTTTCTTTACTGTCCTGGTTGTCAATTTACCAATGGCTTTCTTGGCAGCATCTCCAAGACGGCGCTAATAAAGTGACAAAGAAGAGAACACAAATTAACCCTGATAAACAAGCTTCATTAGTGTCCTTTATAATGACTCATTTGGACTCAATAATACTATTGCAATACACACTATGGCAGCAGGCCAACACATAAGACAAAATGCAAACACAGCAAAGCACAGAGATTTGTCGAGAAGGAAAAATAGCCAGCAGTGAATAGTCAGCCAGAGTTGAATCCTCAAATGCTCTCCACAAGCATGGCATAAAACTCACAGACTGTAAAGAAGTCCACAGAAGTGAATCAACATTGATGTGCAAAACTTATTAAACCCAGCTGAAGCAATGTCCCCTCCCAGTGACTTCCATTATATTCTGTTAATACTGGTTTTATTCAGTGTGCTGTAATATACTGCTTGTTCTCTTAAGCTTGAATTATTTTTATATTTCCCCTCTGAGCAGGCTGATCTTATTCTGAGATGCAAAAGATCTTCCAGTGTAACCCAGTTTCTCTCTCACTATTACCCAAAACCACCAGGATCTCATAAAAGAAAAAAATGATGGGTCACAAAATCTAAATATGCCAATACAGACTTAAATAAAGCTGAAATTAATACTGGTTTGAAGATAACCTCAATCTGAATGCAGAGGCTGAGTTATTTTTTTGCTGTTTATGCTACTTTATGACCACCACAGCTGGATGGAAGGAGCCTTTTCTGACATTTCAAGTGCTGATTCCTAGGGAAATGCCCAGCTCCCAGTCAATACAGAACAGCTGTTTGTCACTGTTTTCCCACTGGGGTCCCAGAAATGGGCACTGAATGAAACAAAGATCCTGTTGTCTTCCTTCAGGGACATGAGACATCAGACTTGGTTTACAACTGACTTAAAAACCAGAAGTTATGTACATCCTCTTTCCCTTCCAACCAGTACTAAGTATTCTGCCTTTGAAAGGGATGGGCTGCTTCTGAGAATTCAGCTCTCAAAACCTCTCCCGCAGCCTGCAGTGAATGTGTGGGGTTTTGTGTCCACCTTTTATAAAATGGAACCCCAAATCTGTCATAACGTGTGTCCCCTGTATCACACATTTCCCTGCATGCAAACTGCAATGAAAGTTGCTTTTATTTGAGAAACAAAATGACCTCAGAAGTCTGTATCACAACTGACTATACCACTTATTCTAGAATTATGTAAGCACTTTACTTCCTTGTGGTTTTCACAATACAACAGCTCTTATTTTATATTTTTTAGAGCAAGGATTTGAAAAAAATCTGATACACAGTCCCAGCTACTGAAGTACATCCATGTAGGAAGCACAGCATCAGAAGCAGAGCTGGGATAGGAAATGATATGCTTCCTCTAAAGTCAGAAATCTCACCCTAACTTCAATATGCAAGAATTCAGTCAATTTAGGAAGATCTAAATAACATGTCCTGGAACAAGCATATTGAGATAAGCCTGAGTACTTAATGACACAGAACACATTGGGCGAACTGCTGGAGTAGATAACCATGGCATAACCAAAAGCATGATTACTAAGAGAGGAACAAGGCTGAAATGGCATTTCACTTGAATGTTCAACTCTACCAGCTAAGCAAATGTGGGTACTATCTATATTTTGTTCTAATGCATGTGACTGTATATGCACCACAAGAAATTTTAAAGATAATTTTCCCATTGAAAGCATAATATTTCAGCAGAATTCTTCCAACGTATTGTTTTTTTATGTAAATAAATTTGTTAAATAACAACTCCCATCTCTTCCGTTTAAGAGGTCAATCTCTTCCATTTTCTAATTTTACCAAATACGCTTTCATGTTAACACTGGAAATGCTCAGGATTGGCTGTTTTGCTAAGTTAGGGCACAGGCACACAGCATATGCTTGCCTTTATAACCCACAACTGTTTAGATGGAAAAGGTCACTTCCACATGCAAAAGAGTTTCACACCTCCGGTGGAAGCGCTCAAGAATAACGATGTGAAATACCAATATCTACTTGTGTTATCTACAAAAGACAGCAAGTTTTTGATGGCTTTGATTTAAAAAACAGAAAAACTTGTGCCTTGACATAACTTAAAAACAAGATCATAGCCTAAAACAAGTTATTTCATCACTAACAGTACAGTCTTTGTGAAAGCTCTCAAAGCCCTTTAAAAATAAGCTGTAGCTGTCGCCACCTTCTTATTAAAGTTTAATAATCTCAGCTTTTTAAACCACATAAAATTTTCATCAAGTTTCTCCTGACCTTTGTAAAAATCTAAAGAAAGAAAAAGGTCACAAGAGCCCTTTCCCAATGTAGCAACTGTTTTGAAACATGGACATTTGGAAGGAGTCTAGAGCCATGTAGGGGATAGAGAAGGCACAATTTTGTATTCTACAGACATTCATTAAATTACAGTTATATTTAAACTTTCACTATCCCAAGGGACCACACTAAGTACCAGCTACAGTGTGGTCATTTAAGAATGATATCCTTAGGAAAATCTACAGGATGCCTCTGGGACCTGCATCATCAGACACTATTTATAGTAACTGAAAAGGAAATCCTGTGCCACAGCTGAGGCTTTATAAGTTTGAATTTGTTTTAGGTCTGACAGAACACCAAAGAACTAGCCCAGAGGCAGCTGCTGTGTATCAGCTGCAATTTGGGGGAAAGGGGGACAGTGACTCGAGGTCAGGAGGTTTCTAAGTTAGCCATGACAGAGAAACAGGGGAAAGAGGGCATTGTGGATTTCCTGAGGTTTACTGACCCTTCTCAATAAAAGCCAAGGCACACTATGGAGGGTCATTAAGTCCACACTAGTAAAACATTTACTTCTAAAGTTTATCTGTGTTTGAGTTGACAACTGCATTTAGTCTAGATCTCTAAGTATGGCCATACATTAAGAAATCAGTTCTTCAACAAATTAATAGTGGAAAAAGAATGTAAGAGAGGCACACTGGACAAAATTTTGGTTAAAATATATGACCAGGACAATTAGGCACTCCTTACCAAGGGTGATCTTAAATAAAGTTGAAAGTTAATACAGACCACTAAGCAGCTCTATACCTTAATTTTCTTACCCCTAACATTCACGACTAATTATGGTTTGGGAATACTTTTGTACAATTTCTAAATTACCTTAACTATTAGAGAGCATAACCTTAAGAGGATGGAGAGAATTCGTAACATTTGCTCAGTGTTCCCCTACACTACACAAGTCGATTCACAATTTAACTTTCCTCCTCGTTCCCAACATACATCCAACACACAATAGTATGTATTATTCAGCCAACACAGAATCCATCTTACTCTTGGACTTACACAAACCAAAACTCAGGTATTTTGCTTCAGTTCTATTCTCTTCTGTCATGTAATAGGATCTATACCAATGCTGCTCAAGACGAAAACACTTTGATGTATAAAAATCCTTGTTTGGCAACATGCTCTGCCTTGGAACAAAGAGGTTCTGAACACCAGTTTGATGGGCATACCTTACTTGTTTCTCTACTGATTACTGTATACAGAAATATTATCTCCATAACTTAAGAGAAAAGAAGAGACCCCTTACCTGATTTCTGTCACGTGCACTTGTGTACCTGATCTTCTGGATGAAGTAAAATATTAACCACGCTGAAGAAATGATCATCAAAACAATGAATGATATTGACACAAAGACTAGAGAGCCCCGACTGAAGTTCTTCGGAGGAACACGGGACCCCACTGCTATGGCCATCAGGACAGAAATATTCTTTTCCAAGTAATTCAGGATCTCCTTAACCTTTGATTCTGTAATCATGACAGCAACAATGTCTCCAGTTCCTATAAAAAGGGGAAACAAGTTTAATTTCTATTTAAAATTAATGTCATGCTGCTCATAAGATTTTCCAGTGCAAAGCCATTTGATAACTCAAGAGGTTTTAATTTAAGCCATCTATGGCACATGGAACTGGGCACTTTACTCATGCCTTGTCCTTCAAACCCAGATTTTCAAATTAGGGCATTAACATGCAAACTCTCAGCAGCTCCACACATAGTAACAGATCTCTACTGCTGGTTATACAGTATTTCCCACATTGTAATTACTGTGTGCAGTCTGAATTAGCTTTCAAAAGTACATTTGTTCCAGATCTGAAGCTGTGAATACCTAAACAGGCAACTCTCAGAAAAACATTTAGGAGATGAGTGAGAATATTGCTCAAGTGCCCTTAGCATAGGCAGTGCTGTGGATGTCGCTGGGGAGAGTTATGCAAGTTCCCCTGAGTGGTTATGTGGCTGCAAAGCAAAAGAGAATTGAAAAAACTTGGCAGAAGTTTGACTGCTGATTTTATCACCCATACAAAGACACGCTTGATAGGATCGCAAAGAGGCTGTCAGCTTCATCAGCTCCATTTTCAATGTGTAGCCCATCTGTTTTCATAGTGCCTTGCCTCTAGACTGTTTCCTGTCCCAAAGGGAAAATTATTGGTACAAGGATAATAGGAAAACCATAAACCTTGCTGAAAAAGAACAAAATCACCTATAGAGCAGAGAGAGCAACTATGTTTTAAAGCAAGGACCACATTAAAAAAAGAATATCTTGAACACAGGGTAATTCTAAGTTCAAAGAAAGAAAAGGTTTAGAAAAACCAAAGGCAGAAAGGAAAAAAACCCTTGTGAAGTTCCATTCTTATTAATCCAGACTTATTTGCTTCCTGTACTAAAAACCCTTTCAAGACCTATTTTCAAAATGCTTGCAAAATCTGTTCATCTGCTTGTTCCATCTGCTTGCTCCAATTCACATTCTCTCAGAGAGGAACTGAGGCAAACGACTTCTGCACCAAGATTCTGGATTTAGAGTGGATTTAAGCTACAGAGAACCTAGTGTGACAATAGAGAACATGAGGTCCTATTTTAACACAAGGCATTTGTTCAAAGTCTTTTAATCAAAACCTAATTTTTAAGAAGCTACCATATCGACAAAATATTGTTCAAGAGGCAAAATAGCAGCATCTTTGAAACCCTAGGCACAGTAACTCAGGGTGACAGCTATATAATTTTCCAAAATGGAGACTTTAAATAGAGCTGTGCAACAGCCTTAAATGTTCTCTTGCTACTCTTTGAATTCACCATGCTAAGTAGTAACATTTACAGTCACTATCATCAGTTTTCCTATTAAGTTCACTAAATTGGTGATGTGGATTGTGCTGACAGAACTACTCAAAATAATCAAAACTGATAATCTCAGGAATTAAAATTTGCACAATAATTGAAAAAAAAACAACATTCCACAGCCCTCAAATTGCTTTTCTCAAGAAAATCTCTAGTATAGCACAGACTCACACAAGATCAACTTCAATCCAGCTCTCAAGAGACACTTCAGCACCAAGTTTGGTTTCATGCAAAAATAACCAAGATATTTAATAAATAGAAAAATTTCAGAGTAAAAGTCCATCACTAGCTTTATTTTCATATAAATCTGCTAAGATTCCTATTTGTCCAGTTGGGAAGATAGTTCCTGTCCAGACTTACAGCACATTTTTACAGCACAAGTGACATCCTTCCTGCAAGATCCTGTATGTAGATGCAGAACATGCTCCTGCAACCCCAAATCCCTGGAGCTCAGATAGTGCAAGATCAATCAAGAGCAGATAATTTATATTGCTTGGTATTTTCCCCAGACTTCATGTCTGCTCTGCATATCTAGCTCAGACAGAGAAGAAAGGCAGGGAAGGGTACGGGAAGACTGTATTCCCCAGAGCACACGTTCTGCTAAGCTTCCCCAGTAGGAATTTATTTGCACTGAGAAATTATGTTTGTATCAAAATATCAAGCTAAAGCACTCCATGTAATATTCTAACATGATTTATAGTTATCTGCAAAGCAAAGATGACAAAGATCTTCTGATACTAGTCCAGTTCTATCTGAATCCAAAGCTGAAGCCTCTACCTATTCCCTGCTGCCCAGGGAATGTGACAAAGCTGACAATCTGTCACGCGTTTTATATAAAGCCCAGCACAATGGGAACCTCTGGCATCACTGCAAAGTGATTTGCATTCCAAATGACTCAACTGGGAACAGCCAAAGTGCTACTGCTGCTTCTGACCCTGCCAGAGCCAAGGAGAACTGCAAAAAAGAAAAATAAATTGTGTCTGTTTAACATACTGAAGCTCAGTGGAAACTGGGACTTGGTTCATCCGTATTTTTGTCAGGGGCATCACCCTAAATAATTTTAGCAAGAACTCCCTGTTTGAGAACAATTGGGGGCAGGAGGAGACAGTGACTCATTTATTTTAAGCACCTTGAAACCTTGTATTTCTGAAACTTTAGCAGAAAAAATCCTCAGGTGAAGACAGAAAGACTGAAAGTGTTTGTGAAACTCAGAATATGGTCTTACTCCATAATCTTACGAAAAGCAATATTCTCCTCAGCCAAGAACACAGTGTCCAGAGAAAAGAATCTGGATTGCTTACTAAAGCCAAGGAGCTACACATGGAACCACAGATGACAAGTTAGGACAGACAGTAGGCATAAGATAAATATTGATGCCTGTAAACATAAATAATTTAATTGCTATCATCCAAGCCCAGGCAGCTCTTTCTAGCTTGCAATTTTACCATGCGCATGTTTAATTAGGATAGTTATACATCTCTGTGTATTAAAAGGGATGAAGTTGTGACTAATCATTAAATCTGTGAATTGTTACACTGTGAGAGCAGAAGACAGAAGAACTTAAAAGCTGAGAAGACAGTAAGAACTACAGGGAAAACAGCAACATCCAGAGTTTCCTGTAGAGCTTATAAGGAAACTGCTTTGCTCTCTCACTGACCTATTGACATCTCCTAGCAATTCTAAAAGAGCATGCTTAGAAAGTCAATAAAAAGTCATCTCAAAGAAATGTAACAAGTGTCATCACAGGCAAATATTTGTGGTGCTTTTGCTGTGTTAGGATATTTTTTTTGGTAGGTTTTTTTTTGTCTTTTTTGTTGTTGTTGATTCTTGACTACCAAATGTTTATCTGAAGCTCAAAATATGGATAACTATGCCCAGGATACCAGGCTGAAGCTGAAGACAAACATGGTTCAAAGAGCAGACTTCAGAAACCTTCAATCCTCCTAGCATCCAAGAGAGGTTGCAGGGAATGGCAGCCTGGCAAAATGCAACTGGCAACCAGGCTGCAATTCTTCAACCACCTTCCTGCACATGGGGAGGGCAAAACCTTAGATCCCACCTCGAGTGTGGAAACTGTCAGACCACCTGTAAGAGGCACTGAACTGCTGAGAATTGATGCAACAAGGTTTGCAGAGAACTGAGAAGTCAGATACTCGTAACAAAGGTCAGTGATTTGCTAATGGCTGATATTTTAGGCTAAAGTCCTCGCAGTAAGTCGCTGATAGTGGCTGCTGATGCTGCAGACACAGCATGAAGCACAAAGACTGCACTCATCTCATGCTTGTGAAAGAATACTGTCCTCTCTTTAAATTGCGGGGAAAATTTAACTGCAACTGAGTCCTTTCATCACTTCTTTCTGAAAAACCTAAACATAGAACATTTACCTGAATAATTCTGCTGGTGAAAATTTCAGAGCACTTCCTTAGAAAACACAAATTCCCCATTTCCTGATAAAGGCAATGATTGATCCAGACAACCACTTGAAAGCTGGATTCAGACAGTGAAATGCCACGCTGCCTTTCTGAGTGCAGCAATAGGATCATCATGATGATAATGTAATTGGAAATAAAACTGCCCATCCTCAAAAACCAGACTGCCCTATTCTTCTATTAAAATCCTGTAGCTGTGTGCTAAGCATTTCTGAATGCATTGTATCAGAAATAAAAAGACAGCAACACCTACTATTCAATACCCAGGAAAGGGATCAGTCCTCTTACTGTGAGTGACAGATTTCTTGGAATAACATCAGCTAACAGTGAAACCACTCCAACAGAATTTGGGAGCCCAGAAAATGACAAAGAAAGCAGGAAAGCACTAATGAAAGCTATGGCTCTATATGAAATTTTGAGCGACCTACTGTGAGCTCTGTGAAACACCAGGAGATATCTGAGCTGCATGACAGCAGAGGTGGAAACAAGGATTACCTCTACAAGGGAAGGGATTCAGCCACACAGGATATAATCCATGGAACCCATGAGGTAAAGGGTAAGGGAAAAGCATACTGACCTGTACGCAAAGCTGTGCTGCTCAAAAAAGCAGGCTTGGGAAGAACAGTTTTTAAATAAAAATTCCATGTCACAACAGTGGGGAAACCCACACATTAATCAAGTACCTTAACATTTTAGTCTGATGCAAAATAAAGAAATTCACTGTAACTCTTACATTCTAAGCAGGTTTATGGAAAAGCAGACACCAAGAGGACGAGCCTTGGCTTATCTTCAGAGTCATTAAAACTGGTCTAGCTGCACATATTTTTATTTTGATCTAATCAGAAAGTAAACAAGAGCATATCCAAGCTGTCAACACATGAGCAATCTCAAGAGTAGAATATGTTGTTTGAGATGTCCCAAACCAAATACTTCTGAAAATAAAAGACCATAATATTTGACAGTTATTGCATTCTAAACTAGCCAAGAATTTAATGCCAAGGATATACATTAATTATAAAATGAGATTGGTAGCATTTTAAAACATTTCTCTTCCTATTGCCTTAATAATATTGAAAATGTTGAATTCTTGCTTGTATGTAAACAATTAGTTTAGGATGCTATTTTATGCAGTGTCAGACACCAGAACAGATTTTACAAAATTACCATGCAAAAAATCATAAAGAGCAGCAGCATATGAAACTATTATCCAAAAGTTAGGCTTTCACAGGACGCCTCAATGGA